TTAGACCTTCAGTACTGGAATGTAGTACTAGTGTTAGGATTGTAGTATCTGTATTAGACCTTCAGTACTGGAATGTAGTACTAGTGTTAGGATTGTAGTATCTGTGTTAGACCTTCAGTACTGGAATGTAGTACTTGTGTTAGCACTATAGTACTGCTGTTAGGACTGAAGTTCTGGTGTTAAGACTGCAGTAGTGGTGTCTTTACCGTCAGCTCCTTCTTCTTGCTGTCCTTCACAAACTTCTGTCTCTTTTTTTTCCCACGCAGAGCCAGGTCAAACTCCTGCAGGGCCTTAGACACTGACACACAGTTCTCTTCAGTTCCCATTCAGGCCAGGTTTAGAAGGGACTCGCTCATTTCTTTAGTACTTACTGCGACTTTGTTTTCTCTCCTGCTGAGTCTGGAACCAGACTCTCTGGGTCTGAGAGGACGAGGCAGAGCCGTCCAGACGCTTCTGAGCCACACTCAACTACAGACAGGAACCAGACACAGAACATGAACTGCATGGCTGAATGGGTCCAAACAATCAATCAATCAAGCATCAATGAATCTATTAATAAATGATGACATGTCATTCAGTCACAGTCACACCGGCCTTGAGTGATGAACTAGAGGCAAAAGAAATATAAGTGGAAAGAAACACCGCTGCGTGTTTCATGTTTCTATCTGTTGTGAGTAGACCTACCTTATTGTTATGTATTTCGGTTCGTTTTTGTTTAAAAATGTGTCTAAATAACCTCTTTATGCACATTTATTGATAGTATTATTGTTGGATTCGGGCAGGGTGGTTTGAGTGCGCAGCTCTTTGTTTTGCTTTAATTTTTTCAGTTATGCATTTTATTTCATTTCTGCACTTGTCGCGATCCAGTTTGTTAAATAAATGTTTTTCCCTTTTAAAGTGGACTTTTGTGTTTAGGAGTAAAAGGTTTATAGTCTATTCGTATCTGCCGTGTAGCCGAGCTCCTGCTCAGTCACGATCATCTAAGTGTTCCTCAACAGTTCTCGTGACAATATCACTAGTTGACATACACTATATGACCAAAAGTATTGGCTCACCTGCCTTGACTCCTACTATGAACTGAAGTGCCATCCCATTCCTAACCCAGAGTTCAATATGATGTCGGTCCACCTTTTGCAGCTATTACAGCTTCAACTCTTCTGGGAAGACTGTCCACAAGGTTGAGGAGAGTGTTTATAGGAATTTTTGACCATTCTTCCAAAAGCGCATTGGTGAGGTCACACACTGATGTTGGTCGAGAAGGCCTGGCTCTCAGTCTCCGCTCTAATTCATCCCAAAGGTGTTCTATCGGGTTCAGGTCAGGACTCTGTGCAGGCCAGTCAAGTTCATCCACACCAGACTCTGTCATCCATGTCTTTATGGACCTTGCTTTGTGCACTGGTGCACAGTCATGTTGGAAGAGGAAGGGGCCCGCTCCAAACTGTTCCCACAAGGTTGGGAGCATGGAATTGTCCAAAATGTTTTGGTATCCTGAAGCATTCAAAGTTCCTTTCACTGGAACTAAGGGGCCAAGCCCAGCTCCTGAAAAACAACCCCACACCATAATTCCTCCTCCACCAAATTTCACAGTCGGCACAATGCAGTCTGAAATGTACCGTTCTCCTGGCAACCTCCAAACCCAGACTCGTCCATCAGATTGCCAGATGGAAAAGCGTGATTCATCACTCCAGAGAACGCGTCTCCACTGCTCTAGAGGCCAGTGGCGGCGTGCTTTACACCATTGCATCCGACACTTTGCATTGCACTTGGTGATGTGTGGCTTGGCTGCAGCTGCTCGGCCATGGAAACCCATTCCATGAAGCTCTCTGCGTACTGTACTTGGGCTAATCTGAAGGTCACACGAAGTTTGTAGCTCTGTAGCAGTTGACTGTGCAGAAAGTCGGCGACCTCTTTGCACTAGGGGCTTCAGCATCCGCTGACCCCTCTCCGTCACTTTACGTGGCCTACCACTTCGTGGCTGAGTTGCTGTTGTTCCCAAACGCTTCCATTTTGTTATAATAGAGCTGACAGTTGACTGTGGAATATTTAGGTGCGAGGAAATTTCACGACTGGATTCGTTGCACAGGTGGCATCCTATGACAGTTCCACGCTGGAATTCACTGAGCTCCTGAGAGCGGCCCATTCTTTCACAAATGTCTTGTTTCACAGTCTGCATGCCTGAGTGCTTGATTTTATACACCTGTGGCCAGGCCAAGGGATTAGGACACCTGATTCTGATCACTTGAATGACTGAGCGAATACTTTTGGTAATATAGTGTAT